GCAGGCTGTAAGTGTTAAAGGGGTTTTAAAGGAAGGGGGCGGGGATGTTGGTTCAAATCACAGCGTTTAGTGGGATAATGTTTGAGCAATACAAATCAGAGCAATGGATCAAGGAGATGAAACATCCAGGCAGAGGTACAAATCGTCTCTTAAATCGAGCACTGGGAATGTCGAGGACTTTCTGTTAGTGTGTCCCACTCATGCTTCGACAGCTGCAGAATATCTAAACAGGCCCTAAACCAACTTTGGAGACAAGATATCTCTTAGTGCACATGGCGACAACAGAGGCCAGAGAAAGACGCATCTGTTTGTGTCTCTGTCTTTCTGATCCAAATCGATCAGTTATTATTATACGCCACTCTGAAAGGGGACCCCTGGACCTGAAATATTGATCCATTGAGGGGTCACGCTGCCCCTGACTCTTTGGCCAGGCCTCAGACGATCCTCGTTTGCGACGATTTGACAGGGGAAGCACCAAAGTATTATATCAAGTGCGTTTGGTAAACTGGGTTATTTGAGCTGCAGTTGTCTCAGGGTGTAGGTTTGTTGTGGTTTCGGTGTGTTTTAAGTAATAGCAGCGAGATGTGATCAATTCTGGTCTCAGCTTTGATTTTCTTTGTTTGGTCTCTTCCTCTGTGTGTTTTTGTTTGTGTGAGGGAGAGAAAAAGAAGGTGAGAATGGGGGAGAGGGGTGTGTGTGCAGGCTTTTTCCGTGCGTAAAAACCAAAACATGTCTGTACGGGCTGTGTTTGCACCTGTTCTGATTTGGATAGATGCCACCTCTCTTTTGTTTATAGCACCCCCAGTTGCTGCACAAACAGCTGTACTATCATGGATTGTAGCATCAATCAAAATATAGATCCCCCCAAACATTTAACACCCAACTGTCATGATGAAGTTTTCCTCGATACAATCGACTAATAACTTCTAGTAATGTCTGTTTGAGCAGGTATTGACAGTCTCGCCACATTGACTTCTAATTGATCCCTCCACATCACTCAGGTTGGGAGCTGTCTCCTCACTCACCTGCAAGCCTAAGCGCTGACATCCGCTGGAACTCGGGCTCCTGCAGCCACTTCCACATCCTCCTGAACGTCTCCCGGCCAGACTTGAGTTTACTCCACGGTTTAGGATTCCGCAGCAGGTCGGACAGAGTTCCCTGGGACCGGCACAAGATCCTCTGAGCAAAGATGGCCTGGGGGATGCTGTAGCGCTTGAGCTCCGCTGTTATTCGCTGCGCAACCTCCTTGGTGTTTATCTCCTCCACCTGCCCTGACCCGGCTCCCTGCCCGCCTCCCACCACCGTCTGCCTGTCCCGGTCTGACAGCATGGACCCGTTTGCCTGAGAGTGCGGATGGCTGTGATGGTGGATGCCATTCAAGGATGTCATGAGCCCGGCCCCGTGGCCCCCGAGACCCCGGGCCAGGTGCTCCTCGCCCCGGGACAGCATGGCTGCGTGGGACTCAAAGCCCCCAGAGGAGAGCATCTTGTCGTTGGACAGGTGAGCTCCGGGGCCGTAGGCGCTGAGAGTCTGCTGGGAGCTGTGCAAAGACCCCAGACCGTTAGACAGAGGGGACAGGGGCTGCCCCATGCCGGACATGTCTTTGGGGTAGTGGCCGTACAGGTTACTCATGGAGGCGAGGCTTCGGTCGTCCCTCATCAGGGTGAAGCTGCCGCTGACATTCCCGGCCGCGAGTCGCTGGTGCGCCGGGTGATGGTGAGCGTGAGCGTGCGGGTGCGGATGGTGAAATTTCTCGGAGACGGTGGATATGGGGGGCAGGTGCTGCAGCGGCGTCAGCGTGGTGTAGGTGCTGCTCAGGCTCATCCCGGAGTCGCACGACATGGTCATGGCCGGATGCAGGGGGCCGGACAGAGCGTGGTCCGTGCGGTAGTCCCCCGCTCCCTCTAGTATCGAGGCCATGCTGGACACCATCGCTGACCGTCCGTGCGACACCAAGTTCCGATGCGACGCCGACGACTGGCGCGCGTGTGCGGAGTTCATTAAGTCGCTCGTTTGATGGGAGTGAGGTACACCGTGCAGATTTCCAATGTTTTCCATTGTAAGCTCCATTGTTGAAAGGATCTTTATTTCCACCCCTCTCGCCACTCTCGCTCTCTCCCTCTCTCTTCTCGCTCCCTCTCTCTCTCTCACTGTCGCTCTATCTCACGCTCCTTTCCAATAAATTTTGAACGATTTCAAAGCCAAGCCATTGATTGTAGTTGCCTCTCTGCAGTCAATCCAGCATGGTTTTAAAAGATCGGGTCCCCGGCCGCCACACAAACTGCGCCGCAATCAAACCTCTGCGCTCGGTGCGTGAAGGTGTCTAGCTGCGCCTGCCTGGATTCTCTCCGCTGTGGAGCACCACTGTACCCAAAGCGCCGCTCCGCTCTCTGTGTGTATATTGACGCGCCCGCGCTCATGTCAGCGGTGAGACTGAGCCTGTGTGCGCATGTGCGCGCCCCCGCGGTGCATCCTCGCCCTCGCGCCCTCTGTCTGGGGCCCGTCTGACGTCACTGCCCCCCCCCCCTACATGTCATGGGGTTGTTCATGTTGCACACTGAACCCCGAATTCCTGCAAAAAGATTACATTAGACACTTGTTAAGATAAAAACACAGAAGTGCAATCCTCTGCAATCCTCTTCGTGCGCAACATTTACCCTCAGATGGATAAGAGAGACTCGCTGCTTGTTTTCTCTGATAAAACCGTTTGACGCGGCGCCAGCAGCGCACGTGATGTCTCTGTGCAGGGTTAAATATTAATTGACATGTGTCACATTAGTGTTACAAGAAAAACACTTGATTGTCAGCAGGAGGTCTTGGTTTTAGTCTTTTAATTGTTTTTGATCGTTACTCTCAAGTTAAATTTAATTGAACAATTTCATATATCAACATTGTTTTCGCCCACATGTGCCACATCTCACAAATCCGGCCCACATACAGTTAGGAATGATGACACTTGGGCGGTCAGCTCCTGTTACCAGATCTGAGCCTTATGGCATGTCAACCAAAGGTGGCAATGGTAGCTTGAATTTGTTTGGTGTGATTTGGGCCAAATTGAATTCTTAAGGTTCACATCCAGATTACACCTCGTCTACAGCACCACATGTTTGATTTCAAAAGGCCCATATTTGTTTTTTGATATTTGGACCACTATTCTACAAGTGGGGCACTTCAGGCTCACATCTGTTTTGTCTGGGCCACAAGAAGACCAGAAGTGCCACTTCATTGCCTGAAGTAGCCCACATCAGTATGCTATCATGTACAAGAAAGTAACCAGTCCTTTTAGACAACTGACTGTGTGGATGACCTTTGACACAAATTGTAATCAGATTACCAATAAAATTATATCTCCCTCGCCTTCCAATATCTTCCATCAGGCTTTCAGTCAGCTCGCCCTCAGAAAATGTTTCTGAATAAATCTGTTAAGTTTTATTTCATCATAGCCTCCAGGCTTCGACCCCTCGCATCTTTGCTCCTCGGTGAAAATCAAAACTCTCAGACCCAGCAGCCCTCACACATTTCATGCCTTACAAACTTCTGTATATGAAACTTGGTGCTCACTGACGTCAATCCAGGTCAGCAATCCATCAATGTCAGAGTATGTATGTATGGATCAGGAGATGCATCGATGGGTTGGTGCCTATAGCAGCTCGTCGAGATCCAGAGGCTGGGGTTTTGTGAAGGGGCTAATGAATATTAGGTTTCTGATGGAAACAGACAAGAAAATTAACTGAAGTTGTGAGTCTTCCATCTCCTATAAACACAAGATTCAATTTATGTTTTATATATTTTATTTCAGGCTTTGCTTCCTTATGGGTGGACACACAATATCATGAACACCTGTACAATGTTGTGCAGCAATACAATGACACACAGCCAATATTCCAATGTTCAATGTGTGCATTAATCGATAAGGTTGCAATGTGCAGCCTATGGTTCAGTAGACTTGTACCTTTTAAGGTGGGTTTTTTAGTTTGTCTATATATTGTAAGCGTGTCATGATCTTTTGTTTTGCCAATTTGATTGGATCTAACCCATATTCTGCCAAGTCGAAACATAAGTTGTATCAGGGCTTATCTATCTCCATAGATACCAAGATGCATACTGTTTACAGTGCAACAGTTCCCAACACCAGAAATCACCAGGGGACAATGTGAAAAAAATTGATCTCTGGGTGGGGGACCAGCTGTCCATAAATGTCCCCTAAAATTGCAAATGACTACTCATTTGAATCGTTCATTTGAATACAATCAACTGGAGAAAGTGTGTGTGTGTGTGTGTGTGTGTGTGTGTGTGTGTGTGTGTGTGTGTGTGTGTGTGTGTGTGTGTGTGTGTGTGTGTGTGTGAGAGAGAGAGAG